GAAAATGTAGTTGTTCGAAACAACCACTTGATGTCAGTAAAGCCATCGCAATCAGCAGTATTAATGTGGAGGGCTTTATTGTTGTCATTGTGGAATCCGTTTTATTGGCTGCATTTGGTTGAATGAAAAACGATAAAATTTTGGTAACAAAACTTTCCCGCAATGACATACCTTGTACGGGATCAGCTCTTGAATTGCTGGCGTACACAGTTTCGCGGGATTCGAGTACGGGTGCTTTTTGCGGGCGATCACCTTCGACAGATTCTTCATTGCTGCGCCAATAGAAGGTGGAAAGTGATGCAACACACTGTAATGAGAGAGAGAGAGAAAAAGAGAGAGGATATTAGCTTTGTAATTGATAAAAATATGACATTTATTGAAAAGTTTGGCCGAATCTTATATACCCTAAAACACAATATTTATATTCTTTTAAAAATCAGATTTTTTACAAAATATTTTCTGAGCACTTTACGTGGATTAAAAAAAACAGTAAGGAAAGTAGTAAAGTCGGACTGTGCAGACTATATGATACCCTTCACCACTTTCCATCCCTCGAAGAAATATACCCATGTCGGATAGATTTAGGGTCATCTGTGTTCCATGGGACGAATATATATGTATATGTGGGAGCTATATCGAAATATAAACCGAGTTTTCCGAAGCTTACCACACAACATTCTAGACTCAATTCAGTACGCTATGCCAAATTTCTTGAAATTGGAGGATATATAGGGCTTTGGTGCACAATTTACATTAAATCGGACGAAAAAAAAATATGTATATATATGGGAGCTATATAAATCTGAACCGATTTTCACGAAATTTGGCAGACATCACTCCATGTTCAATTCAGTATGCCATGCCAAATTTCGAGCAAATCGAAAGATATATATAGGGACCTTGTCGTACCATTTACATTAAATCGGACGAAAATATATATATGGGAGCTATATTTAAAACTGCACCGATATTCACAAAACTCACCACTCATCATTCCAGACTGAATTTAGTACGCTATGTCATATTTCGTGCAAATCAAAAGATATATAGGGGCTTTGGTGCACTATTTACATGAAATCGGACGAAACTATATATGGGAGCTATATCTAAATCTGAACCGATTTTCACGAAACTTGGCAGGCATCACTCTATGTTCAATTCAGTACACTATGCCAAATTTCGTGCAAATCGAAAGATATATAGGGAATTTGGTGCACCATTTAAATAAAATCGGACGCAAATATATTTGGGAGCTATATCTAAATCCACACTGATTTTCACGCAACTTGGCAGACATCAGTCTAGGCTCAATCCAGTACGTCAAGCCAAATTACGTGCAAATCGAAAGATATACAGGTACTTTTGTGCACCATTTACCTTAAATCGGACGAAAATATATATGGGAGCTATATCTATACCTGAACCGATTTTCACAAAATTTAGCACACATCATTCCGGACCTAATTCTGTACCCTATGCAAAATTTCTTACAAATCAAAAGAGATATAGGGACTATGGTGCACAGTTTACATAAAATCGGATGAAACTATATATGGGAGCTATATCTAAATCTGAACCGATTTTCACGAAACTTGACAGACATCATTCTAGGCTTAATTTAGTACGGTATGCCAAATTTCGTGCAAATCGAAAGATATATAAGGACTTTGGTACACAATTTACATAAAATCGGACGAAAATATATATGGGAGCTATATCTAAATCCGAACAGATTTTCAGGAGACTTTGCAAACATCATTGTGGATCTAATTCAGTACCCTGTGCCAAATTTCGTGCAAATCGAAAGATATGTGGGAACTTTGGTGCACCATTAAATTTAAATCGGACGAAAATAGATATGGGGCTATATAAAAGTCTTAACCGATTTTTCCCAATTTCAATAGGGTACTTCTTTGGGCCAAATTAGTGAGCTGTGCCAAATTTCATCGAATTCGGATTATAAATGCGACCTGTGCTTTGTTTACAATTTAAGACCACCAGACGGACGGAGATGCTTAAATCGACTCAAAAAGTGATTCTATGCATATGCTCAAAAGGAACTATGGGTCTATCTCGTTTCCTTTTGCCTGTTACAAACATATGCACAAAGACACAGTATGGTGAAGGGTATAAAAATTCCCGATGCCAGAAGGTAAATTTTATATTATTCCCCTGAAGAATTTTGTTGGCAACATTTAAGGGGACTTCATACTTCATAAGGATCCTGTAAGATTCCACCCAAATTTTCCACCTTATTTCCAAAATTTAAAGTATTTGTTAGTACTCACCTTCAATTTCATATCACCATTACGAAAATGATGTTGATCTACACGGAATTGGAGGCCCAAAATTGAGGTTTCCAAACCGTCACGACCCCACAAGATTGGATCGTATTTACGCAATTGATAGGGTTCAGCGGGTTCGCCATTTATGAACCATGCCAATTGAACGGCAGGTTTTGAACGACCAGCTGTGCAGTTGATGCGCACCGTGTCACCAATCTGATAGCGAGGACGGCCACCGGTTATTTTGGGAGCACCTTGGTCAGGTAAGGCTAGAAGAAAAAGAGGAAACAAACAAGACATGCAATTATTAAATGAACAAAGTTGAGAAAAAGAAAATTTAGAGTTTTTATTTTAAATACCAGAAAATTCTTCTATTTATATATGTACATATGTAACCCTGACTACTGAATTTAAGAATTCCTAACAAATTGGCAAAAAAAGAACTGCTTGATGTTCTTCACAATGTTTTCAAAGTGTGTGTGTATTTGTGTGCATCTCTTATGTCCCAGTGACCATGACTGCATATCCTGATCTCTCTCTCTCTGCGACCATGTACGTGTGACATTTTATCAACATGACATGTGCGTAGAATAGGACATTTGTCTCATATTCGGGGCCATAGTTTTTGTGTGTCAACTTTTTTGTTTGCGATTTCCTCTTTTTTCTGTTGCGAACCAATAAAAAAACTCCACTAGAAATTCAATATTTGACAACGTCAACTCATGAAAAAAGTTTTCGATTTTTTTGTTTTGTCCGCAGTTTTTCAATGATCAATTTTTATTTTGTTTTAACAGCTGAAAGGACATAGAAGTGCCAAAGAAAAAACACTGAACGGTACAAGCACAGAGTTTCAAACATTATGCAGCTAACGGCATTTCCACAAAAGATTTAAAAGTTTAGCTGCAGCTTTATGTTATTTGTTGGATTCATATGGTGTTTTTTCGTTTTCTGTTTTTGTTTTGATTGTAGATTATACATACATACGTACATATCAAAGTGAAATAGAAATAGAATTTCATAGAAAGGGAAAACAATAATAAAAGTTCGGAAATTATCAATTGATTAACAAAGTTGAAAAGAATGATTTTTAAAGAATTTGGAGAATTATCAGTGACTCGGATTTTAAAAGTTTTGTTTTGTAGGGGATTTTAAGATTATTTTCCTGAAGGATAATCAGAGGTGAGGATTTTTATGTAATTTTTTTCCTGGAGGATGATTAGAGGCTCAGATTAAACGATTTTTTTCTCTTAGAGGATTGTCGGAGATGAGAATTATTAAAGATTTTTTGTTCAAGGATCATGAAAATCGTGGATGTTTAATGAAATTGTCCTCTCCGGATATGGGAAGCGTCAAATTTTAAAGATTTTTTTCTGGTGGATTATCATAGGCTTAGATTTTTAAAGAAAACTTTTCGCAAGGATTATCAGAGGCATGGATTTTTAAAGAATTTTTTTCGCAAGGATTATCAGAGGCATGGATTTTTAAAGAATTTTTTTCGCAAGGATTATCAGAGGCATGAATTTTTAAAGGAAATTTTTTGCAAGGATTATCAGAGGTATTGATTTTTAAAGAAGTTTTTTTCGCAAGGACTATCAGACGCATGGATTTTTTAAGAAATTTTTTTTCGAAAGGATTATCAGAGGCACGGATTTTTAAAGAAATTTGTTTCGCAAGGATTATCAGAGGCATGGATTTTTAAAGAAATTTTTTCGCAAGGATTATCAGAGGCATGGATTTTTAAAGAAATTTTTTCGCAAGGATTATCAGAGGCATGGATTTTTAAAGAAATTTTTTTCGCAAGGTTTATCATAGGCTTTGATATTTAAAGAATTTTTTCGTAAGGATTATCAGAGACATGCATTTTTAAGGAAATTTTTTCGCAAGGATTGTCAGAGACATGGATTTTTAAAGAAAATTTTTCTGAAGGATATTTTCTTGAACTATTATCAGAGGCGTGGGTTTTTAAAGAACCTTTTTTCTGAAGTATATTTTCGTGAACGTTTAGCAGAGGCGTTGGTTTTTAAAGAACCCTTTTACTGAAGGATATTTTCTTCACGGTTTATCAGAGGCGTGGATTTTTAAAGAATATTTTTACTGAAGGATATTTTCTTCACGGTTTATCAGAGGCGTAGATTTTTAAAGAACATTTTTCTGAAGGATATTTTCTTCACGGTTTATCAGAGGCGTGGGTTTTTAAAGAATCTTTTTACTGAAGGATATTTTATTCACGGTTTATGAGAGGGGTGAATTTTTAAAGAACATTTTTCTGAAGGATATTTTCTTCACGGTTTATCAGAGGCGTAGATATTTAAAGAATATTTTGAAGGATATTTTCTTGAACGTTTAGCAGAGGCGTGGGTTTTTAAAGAACATTTTTACTGAATGATATTTTCTTCACGGTTTATCGGAGGCGTGGGTTTTTAAAGAATTTTTTTAAGGATATTTTCTTCACGGTTTATCAGAGGCGTGAATTTTTAAAGAACATTTTTTACGGGTCTTACAAAAGGTGTGGATTTTTAAAGAACATTTTTCTGAAGGATTTTTTCTTAAAGGTTTATCAGAGGCGTAGATTTTTAAAGAATATCTTTCTGAAGGATATTTTCTTAAAGGTTTATCAGAGGTGTGAATTTGAACTGTAGGTCGACATTTTTCCATGAAGGACTATAAAGTACAGAACATTTTTCTGAAGGATATTTTCTTGAAGTTTTATCAGAGGTGTGAAGGTCAACATTTTTCCATAAAGAACTATAAAATCTGGAACATTTTTATCGAACTATAAAGTCTAGCATTTTTGGATTGAGTATTATCAATGCTGGAATTGTGTATTTAAATGAAAAAAATCTTGAAGGATCAACAATACGTTTCCTGAAAAAAAAAATACTGAGGGCCGAAGAATTTTATACTGTCGGAATATAGAAGCTTGAAGCGTGATTTTCCAGAACTAACATATTTTAAAATTTAGCCTCGATTAATAGGCGTAATTAGGAGTCGCAAAATGTATGTCCATCGGCCTGTCCTGCTGGTGTTTATTGTGGCACATAATGGGAAATGAATCTACACTAATAAATAATTGTTTCAAGAAAACTTATTGAAGGATTTTTTTCAAACAAATGCTTTAAAAGGTATTCAGTACATAAAAGTTATCTGCCTCTGGATAATTTTTTCTGTAAAAAAGGTATTTACATTCTATAGGAGTCCATTAGAAAATCCAATATCTTTCTTTAAATGTTATATGTTTGCAGAACAAATCAAGAAGATTGCTCGGCTATAGAAATTCTACTGAAGGTTTTACATTCTATAGAGGACCTGTAGAGGGTCTCCGGTTTATGGATGCATTATATACATCGAAAACCTAATTTTTATAAATATCTGTGGAAGGCTTTGTGTCTACCGAAGAGGACCGGTCTTATATATATTTTTTTTTTAATCCTCGCCATTATTCTATGGAATTTTTGAAAATATGCTTTCATGTCTTTTTAAAAAATATTTTTTCAATAGGCGTGGATTTTTTTAAGGAAAATATTTTTTCAAGGTTTACATTAGGCCTGGATTTTATAATTTTTTTCATGCACTATGGACCCGTGACTGTTTTCTATTTATAGAAAAACTCTAGGAGCTTTCTGTCTACAAAAATCGTATAGTATTTTTTTTCTACAGAAAGACTTTAATATAAACAAACTATAGTAGTCCTTCTAGAAGGGTTTCTGTCTCTGCAAAATCTCTTCAAAGTCTTCTGTTTACAGGAGCCCTATATAAGGGCTGTCGTTTACAGAAAGCATATAAATATCAGTCTGCCTATAGGCGAGACCTATGAAAGGTCTCCTGTATTAAAAATACATCTAACAGATTTTTTATCTATAGATAAACCATAGAAGGAGTTTCAAAAAATCCCATATGTGGCCCTAAAACCTGTGGATCTATTAAAAAGAGGCTTTTACTCGATATTTTAATTTTTTGTTGCACATTCTAAATAACTGCATGTTTTCAATAATCAGCTTTTGAAAACCTTCAACCTTGCTTTGGTGCACATCCAGCTGTCACTGAAATTGAAAATTCAATCCTTATATAAAATGCCAATATATTTTTCCTATTCAAACAGGCTAGATGCTGCTTGTGTGTCACATTCAATTTGAGATTTCATCAGCTACCAATGTTTGTTTTTTTTTTTTTTTTGGTAAAAGGTGCCACACTCTCACACTCAGTGGAAGTCATGTTTTATGTTGCAATCAAACATGTGAAGGCACACACACAGAAAAACTATTACTTTGAAATTAAATCCTTTCGCGGCCTTTTAAGCCTTTGTGGCAATGATTTTGCTTGCTAGCCTGTCTGCCTGCCTGCATCACATTTCAGTTAGTTAGCAAAGCAAATCAGCAGTTGCAACAAAAAGTAATTTTTTTTTGGCAAATGTATATTTTTAATCGATGGTAAAACAACTTGCAACACAAGACCTCATGTATCAGTTCGTTCGTTTTGTTTTTGTTGTTGGTATCAAGCGTTTTTTCATTTCGGATACATGAGTTGCATTTAACAATTATTAAAAACAACCAATAACATTGTTTAGTGTTGTTTTGTTTTTATTATTTTTTTTGTTTCCACAAAAACATCTCTACATTTATCGTGGCCCGAATTCGTTTTTGTAGTTATTTCAGTTCTTTATAAAATTAATATCAGAATTTTGAGTGTGTGTGTTTTTTGCCCTCGTAATATATTCAACAAATATTTTTGCTGATTTTTTGTTTGTTTTTTACACGATTTTATTCTTTTGTTTATGGAATTGGGATTTTTTTTTGGTCCATTAAATACTTACATACAACAACCATATCACCATGTTCAGTAACTGTCTGAAATGAGGGTGCCTCCCCGGATACTTCACAGCGAAATCGGCCGGCTGATTGTAGGTTAACTTCGCGTAATGTCACCACAGCATCGCTTGAATTGTGAACCTGAAAAAATGAGATAACATGGAAAAATATTGATATTATTAATAATTTTTTGTTTTGAGTGATCTAACAAAAAAAAAAACGTATGTTTAATCACAGATATTTATTTAATCATTTTCAATTGGAAAAAAAACAATTAGTGGGAAAAATATGTTCAATATTGTGGTACCCACAAATTTCCAGAGAAATTATTGATAAGGACTCTCCTTGTATGGTTGATGATAAAAGGATCTGTGTTTGTTTTTTATAGAGAAATAGTTAAAATGTGAATTCGACGGATGATATCCGTTTTTGTGTTATAGTTAAAGTATTTAAATTCGACCTGATTAACGTCTGTGCGGAATAATGAAAAAAAATAATATTTGAAATATATAAATGGGAATTCTATTCAAAGATGAGAGTCCGTGATTGGTATTTAAACCAGTAAGGAAAGTAGTAAAGTCGGACTGGGCCGACTATATGATACCCTTCACCATTTGTATCCTAACAATTGCATGTCTATGTTCCCTCTTTCTTCAACCTATTCTAACTTTAATTTCATTCGAGCAGATTTAGAGCCGTCTGCGTAACATGGGGAAAATTTATGGAAAACGATTTATAGTAAAATTGATACACGCTATTCGGTACGCCGCGTTGTTAAAAATATAATCTATATGTGTGAGCTATATCTAAATCTGAACCGATTTTCAAATTAACACACATTAACACACATCTTTCTAGACTTAATTCAGTACGCTATGTCAAATTTTGTGTTAATCGAAGGATATATAAATGGATCTTGGTGCACCATTTACATAAAATCGGACGAAAATATATATGGGATATATGTCGAAATCTAAACTGATTTTCCCGAAACTCACCACTCATCATACTAGACTCAATTCAGTACGCTATGCCAAATTTCGTGCAAATCGAAGGATATAAAGAGACTTTGGTGCACTATTTACCTAAAATCGGACGAAAATATATATGAGAGCTATATCTAAATCTGAACCGATTTCCACGAAATTTTACACACATCGTTTTAGACATCATTCAGTACACTGTGCCAAATTTCGTGCAAATCGAAGGATATATAGGGACGTTGGTGCATCATTTACATAAAATCGAACGAACATATATATGGGAGCTATATCTAAATCTGAACCGTTGTTCACAAAATTTAACACACATCGTTCTAGACTCAATTCAGTACGCTATGCCAAATTTCGTGCAATTCGAAGTATATATAGAGACTTTGATACACCATTTTTCTTAAATCGGAATATATACGGGAGCTATATCCAAATCTGAACCGATTTTCAGGAAACTTGACACACATCATTATAGACCTAATTCAGTACGATGTGCCAAATTTCATGCAAATCGAAAGATATATAGGGACTTTGGTGCACCATTTACGTTACATCGGACGAACATATATATGGGAGCTATATCTAACTCTGGACCGCTTTTCATGAACTTTAACACACATCATTCTAGACCTAATTAATTACGCTATGCTAAATTTCGTGCAAATCGAAAGGTATATAGGGACTTTGGTACACCATTTACATTAAATCGGACGAAAATATGAGAGCTATATCTAAATCTGAACCAATTTTCCCACTTTCAATAGGGGTTGTCCTTGGGCCAAATATGTGACTTATGCCAAATTTCATCCAATGCCTATGAAAAATGATACCTTACCTTGTTTACAATTTAACAAGGACCGACAGACAGGCAGACAGACGTATGGTCGGACGGACATGCATAAATCGACTTAAAAAGTGATTCTATGCATATTCTCACAAGTAACCATGGGTAGTTCTCGTTTCCTTTTGCCTGTTACAAAAATATGCACAAAGACATAATACCCTGTACCACAGTGTGGTGAAGGGTATAAATATATATATATATATATACTTAGACCCTTGAGATGACAACCAACTTCCCATATTTCTCATGAACAAAATCCCTAAAAATCTATGTTAACTCACCATCATGAGAATTTTTTTTATCCCCACAACAATCTATGATAATATATCATATGCCACATATGCTATCCGTTTTATTTTATTTATTTAAATCGCCTTTGACCATCCAAAACAGAGATTACCAAATTCCATTACACTGACCAGGCAAAAGAGCAACCAACCAACCCACCAGCCAACCGACACTCAACTTGCAACACACATAAATCTTAAATTGTTTTCGTAACAATTTTACAACAATCGATTAAGCTTAAATAATATCCGGTTTGGAATTGAGTAGAGACGTGGGTTTTTTTCTCTCATCCACGGTGTTATTAGAATGGTGTTATGGCCATTAAACACACAAAAGAACGAACGAGCGAACGGACGGACGAACAACAACAATAACCGCAACACAAAAATCCATCATAGCTTCTAGTAAACAAATAGCTAAAGCATGTTAAAGTAGTGGATGAGGAGGCGGAGGAGGAGGAAGAGAAGCACTACAACAATGAAGAGTCTCTAGACTCGATTGTAACAAAAATATATTTAACAGGCAATCCAGTCGGAAAAACGAGCTACTTCAAGCTGTAATGGCCACTGTTCAAAAGCACTACAGAGACTCAGGGAGAAACAGAAAAAAAAAAAACAAAAGGGCCGTGAAATGGTTGTTATAAAATTGTTTCAGTAGCTGGTGTTGTATGGCTGATGCGATGGACGATAATGTTTTATCTAAAGTTAAACATGATTATCATCAAACAGTGATAGTGCGGCATAAGTTGCCCCTGTATGTCTGAACCAGACGACGTTGTATCCTTGCACTGAATCAACTGACCATATGGATGGATGTTCTCCATATAGTATATTGATAGATGATTTTGATATTTGGCTCCTTATGTAGGTAGCCGTTTGCCAGAAAAACTCACACACACACACACAAAACTGGCGAGAGCTTAACAAATGAACAATCTTGGTACAATGAGTGAGAGAATTTATTACTGTTCACCAATGCTACACCAAGGCAGGGAAATGGAAAACACAATCCATTTGTTGCCAAAGTGGAATGGTGAACTGGCTGGCTGGTCGGCAGACATTACCTACCAGACGGCTAAGCTTATATTAGCCAAGTTATATGAACATTTTAGTACCGGTAGAGGTGATAGTCGTTCTGCTGAGCTCTTTGAAATTGTAAAAGCACGCACGTAAAAATTGTTAGAGAGAAGTTGATTTGCAATTCGTTTGCTTACTTTACAAATGCGTTAAGTGTTTCGGCCAGGCAACCACGCGTTATGGACTCGTGAGGTAGTTAGCCACAACTTTTCCATTACAATTACGTGGAAAAAATATTTTCATTTGAAATATGGCATTGAACTTTACGCTAGGCTTACTACATTGCAGGACTTTTGTCTGGATTGTTGAAGGACTAAAATCCTTGTTAGGGTGTCGTATTCAAGTAGAGGAAATTTAAATTGGATCAGGTTGATTCAATGAGCTGATAATTGTGTGATCTATTAACTAAAAATGTATAATGGACAGGTGACATGAATAAAAACCAGTAAGGAAAGCAGTAAAGTGGGACGGGGCCGACTATATGATAACCTTCAGCACTTTGAGTATACTTCACCACTTTGGGTAACCTATACTAAACTCTTCATTTGGATAGATAGAGAATGAGACAAAATTATGTAAATCGATTTAAAGCAAATCTCAATCGGACACTCTTTGATTATTTGAAACCTACTAAACATGAATCGGTCTACGAAAAGCAATTACCTCACTCTATATACAATTTTGTACGTTGTGCAAAATTTCGCGTCAATATGACAAAAATTAGGAAAATATTAATGGAAGCTATTAAATATTAATGGAAGCTATATCTAAACCGATTTCAATGAAATTTGTCACAGTTAGCTAATACTACTTTTATCACGTTTTGTGCATATCGGCCATATTTTGGGTCCTTGGTGCATCATGTACTTACAATCGGAGGGAAATATATATATATATATATATAGGAGCTATATATAAATCTGAACCGATTTAGTTGTGCACAATTTTGAAAACCGATTTTCACGAAAACTAGCATTCTAGACTTAATTTAGTACGCTATGCCAAATTTTGTGCAAATCGAAAGATATACAAAGGCTTTAGTACGCCATCTACATTAAATCGGACAAAAATATATATAGGAGCTGTATCTAAATCTGAACTGATTTTCACGAAATTTAATACTCAGCGTTTTAGACTTTATTCAGTACGCTATGCCAAATTTTGTGCAAATCGAAGGATATATAGGGACATTGGTGCACTATTTCCCTAAAATCGGAGGAAATTATATATGGGAACTATATCTAAATCTGAACCGATTTTCACGAAATTCGACAGGCATCGTTCTAGACTTAATTCAGTACGCTACTCCAAATTTCATGCAAATCGAAGGATATATAGGGGCTTTGGGGCACTATTTCCCTAAAATCGGACGAAAATATATATGGGAACTATATCTAAATCTGAACAGATTTTCATGAAATTCGACAGGCATCGTTCTAGACTTCATTCAGTACGCTATGCCAAATTTCGTACAAATCGTAGGATATATAGGGACTTTGGTGCACTATTTCCCTATAATCGGATGAAAATATATATGGGAGCTATGACTCTGAACCGACTTTTCCCAATTTCTATAGGGTTTATCCCGGGGCCAAATATATGACCAATACCAAATTTCATTCAATTCGGATGATAGATGCGAACTGTACTTTGTATACAATTTAACAAAGACAGACGGACGGACGTACAGACATGCATATAAATAGATTCTATGCATATTCTCAGAAGGAACCATGTGTCTATATCTTAAAAATATTTTTTAAGGACTAATATAGGCGTGGATTTTTTTTAATTTTTTAAGGACGAACATGGGCGTGGATTTCTATACCCTACACAACTATGTTGTTAGGGTATTATAGCTTTGTGCAGCCCCAAGAGTTTGTAACGCCGCGAAATATTGGTCCTAGACTCATCTTTAAGTATACCGATCGTCATATCTCGACTAGCTGAGTCGATCTAGACATGTGTGTCCGTCCGTCCGTCTGTCCATTATAATTTGTAAACACTATACAGGCCACAGTTATGGACCAATCTTCACGAAATTTTTCATGTAGGATGGGTTCTGGCCAATGAAGACCACTATAGTTTTATCTAAAGATCGGTTAATATTTAGGGGATGATGTGGACCAAATACTTAATTTTTGTCGGGTTTTTCTGGTCGCTCCAGAGGCCGCAATTATGGTCCAAACATCACGAATTTTTACATGGAGAAGGGGATCGGGCCAAAGAGTAAGCATGCCTGTTTTGATAAGGATCGGTCAAATGAACGCTGACTTTTGTGTGAAAAATGACAAAAATCTATAGGGAATATATTTACTCCTGAAAGACATAGACCCGAGGAGTTGACAGTATATCCAAGAGGAGTGGTTGACCTTTAAATTGATACCAATTATATTGTCGTATGTACTCGGATGTGGGGGTTACACTTAAATATTTACAGGTGACTACGTATTCAGATATTATTTAGTAACCCATTATCACTCTAGAAAGCGGAACTATAGCGCTGATCGCTTTGAAATCTTACATGAGGTTCCGGGTATAGTCAAGGACAACGCCTATAATTTTCGGTGATGATCAGATAATAATTTTGGAATGAAGTGGACCGAAAACTTAATTTTTTGTGTTATTTTCGAGTCGATCTATAGACCACAAATGAAAGCCGAACATCATACCACGGTGAAGGGAATCTGGACAATAGCTGTACTGAATACTCGTAATATTCGGAAAATATGTTAATGTGAGGAAGAGGTGCTGTTTACCTCTATCGGGCAAGAGGGTGCAAATACTGCCAGGCTCGGAATAAAAATCCGCGGAGACAGTTCTGCGGTAGTTGCTTAGGGTATCGTATGGTCGGCCCTGCCCGACTGTACTGCTCCGCCCACTAGTTTTAAATTATTTTTAGGGGACTAACATAGACTGGATTTTTTAAGAATATTTGTAGCGTTAGGGTTTTTTGAAAAATCTATAAAATAAAATAAAAATATTTTTCTAAGGACTATTAAAGGCTTGAAATTTAACAGAAGGATATTTTGAAATACTACCAAAGAAGTGAAGTTTAATAAAAAATATTTTTTTGTCAATAAGGTGTGGATTTTTACAGAAATATTTTGCCCTGGACCGACACAAAGGTTTGCATTTTTAAGAAATATTTTTCAATGATCAACACAAAGGCTTAAAGTTTAAAGAAATATTTTTTCTGGGACCATATAATGGGACCACTATATTTTTAAGGGATATACAAGGAGTGGATTTCTTATTTTACAAGGGCCTACTACAAGGCGTGGATTTATTTTCTCAAGGACCAACACAGGGCGTGGATATTTAAAAATATTTTCTCAGGGTCTATTAAATTCGCGCCTTTTTTAAAGAATATTTTTAAGAAATATCAGAGGCGTCCATTTTTAAAGAAATTGTTGTCAAGGGCTATAAGAGGGTTGGGTTTATAAAGAAATACATTTCAAGGGCTATAACAACTGATGAGCCTTATATAATTTTTTTAAGTACATGGACTAATTTAGAGTCTCCTGAATTTTTAGAATTTCGGGAATTTTTAAAGGGTTTAATGGCTTTAGCATTTTTCAAGTGTTCTTCAAATTAAACTCTCTTGCATGCTATCTAAGTTCTAGTGTTTGTTCTAGGCTTTTCTTTCATTCAGAGGCTTTTCCATGAATGTAGTCTCTATAGCAGAATGTATGTACTTAACCATCTTCATATATATCAACCTGAAGTACTTTTTCATTTAGCTACTTGACTATTTAGAAGCTACAGTGTCACTGTCATTGCCACCTATTCAAGTAGTCACTTCAATAATACACAGGATTCATCCATTAACATTCTATCACATCGACAAAGGACGAGGAATGCAACACTACTTGAAAGTATCCTTTTGTGAGAGTACATTCTCGCCTACAAAAAAAAAGTACAATGGCGGAGTGGCTTTAAACTGATATTATTTGCCATACTTGAAAGCAGAGTATGCCATCTGCAAAGCTCATAAGTTTAAGGTTGCAATGAAATTCAAAGGAAATGGCAACAAAGGATAATTAATAAATTTAATAATTATATATTTTACAATAAGATATTTAAATTTTATGGGATTTTCTATTCAGTCTTATTAAATATTTTTTTCATTTCATTTTTTTCTTGTGTTTGTTAGTTATACCATTTTGCATTTTGCCTGGTGTAGTATCCTTTAATAAAACACCTTAAATAGCTGATAAAGGATATAACACGAAAACGAGCAAATATAACCGTATGCTACTGCGCTAGTGGTACTTACATCAACTGAAACACCTGGCAGCAGGAATGTTTGTGCTGGCGGCATATCTCTGGGTACATATCGATAGAATTCATTGCCATCCTTATACCATTTTACCGAGTACAAAGATTCACCATCCAAATCATAGAGGCACTCAAGCTGTGCTGCTGAGCCCTTAACCACGTAATTTGGTATACGTACTTCCACCAAACGCAAACAGTGTGAGAAATCTAGAGGAGAGAAAAAAAATAGAAAAAAAAAGATGAGAACAGGAAAAAAACACAAATCAGTAACAGAAAAAACTGAATTAGTACCGGCAATACACAGACATTTAAACTGAAATAGTTTTTGTAGATAATAGTCAGCCAGGCAGCCAGTAGATATAGAAGGGCTTAGCTGGCATACACGTTGTTTTCTTCAACAATTTTGTTAAAGAGTCGAAGATAAATGGGATTTTGGTATGCTACACATTGCCTTTTCGAACAGTTAGTTTTTTTTTTGAGTTCCAAAAAAAGCTTCCTCTAAAAACACGCTTATTTTTTTGCTTGAAATATAGCCATGTTGAAATAGGATTTTAGCCTTCTCACGTTAGATTTTTTTTTCGTTTGGTGTATATTTGTGTAGATTATATATTTAAGTCTGGGATTTTTTTTTTTTTTTTTGTAAATTTGTTTTTAGGGGCAGGGTTGCCAGCAGGAAATTTTTCTGAAACAATATTTTTTTCAAGGGCCAATATAGGCGTGGATTTTTTAAAGACTATTTTTTCAAGGTCCAACACAAGCGTGAATTTCTTTAAAAAATGTTTACAAAGGCCAATATCGGTGTCATTTTTTTCAAAGAATTTTTTCAATGGCCAATATCTGTGTGGATTTTTTCAAGGACTGTCAAAGGCTTATATTTTTTAAAGATTATTTTTAAGGACCAATACAATGCTAGGAATTTCTAATGTATATTTTTTCAAGGGCCAATATATACGAGGATTTTTAACGAATACAAGGTGTCGACTTTTTGGTGAATTTTTTTAAAGAAAATTATAGATTTTTTAAAAATATTTTTTCAATGACCACTACAAGACGTAGATTTTTTAAAAGAATATTTTTTTGAAGAACTACAAAAGGCCAAGTTTTTATACCCTACACAACTATGTTGTCAGGGTATCATACCCTTTGCAGCCCCAAGAGTTTGTAACGCCGCGAAATATTGTTCCTAGACCCACCTTTAAGCATACCGATCGTCATATCTCAACTAGCTGAGTCGATCTAGACATGTGTGTCCGTCCGTCCGTCTATCCATTATAATTTGTAAACACGATACAGGCCACAGTTATGGACCAATTTTCACGAAATTTTGCATGTAGGATGGGTTCTGGCCAATGAAGACCCCTATTTTTGGTAAAGATCGGTTAATATTTAGGGGATGAAATGGACCAAAAACTGAATTTTTGTCTGATTTTCTGGTCGCTCCAGAGGCCGTAATTATGGCCCACACTTAGCGAAATTTTACATGGAGAAGGGGATAGGGCCAAAGAATAAGCATGACTTTTTTGATAAAGATCGGTCAATATTTAGCGGGTCAAATGGATCCTGACTTTTGTGTGAAAAATTACAAAATTTGTATTCTATAGCGTATATACTTAATCCTGAAGGACATAGAGAAGTTAATAGTATATGCAAGAGGACTGGTTGACTTGATACCAATCATATTGTCGTATGTACTCGGATGCGGGAGTTTTACTTAAATATTTACAGGTACTTACGTATTCATTTACTATTTAGTAACCTATTACCACACTAGAGGGCGGAAATATAGCGCTGATCGCTTTGAAGTTTTCCATGGGTATCCAAGTATGGTCAATGACAACGCCTATAATATTCGGAATGAAGTGGACCGAAAACTTAATTTTTTGTGTTTTTTTCGAGTCGATCTATAGGCCACAATTGAAAGGAGAACATCACAACACAACCCACGGTGAAGGGAATCTGGACAAGTAATTAGACCACTAGCCGGTCAAGAGGGTGTAAAAATCGCGAAATATTGCCCTAGCTCAGTATATAGATCTACAGAAAGTTATGTTTTCGTGCAAGTTGTGTAGGGTATCATATGGTCGGCCCCGTCCGACTATACCGCTCCGTTCACTGGTTTAAGAATATTTTTTAAAGGCTAAAGAGACTTACATAGTTTTATGGACATTTTTTGAAGGACTATTATATTTTTTTAACGACCATAACGATCATAGATTTTGTAAAGAATATTTTTTCGATGGCCATTAGAGTCATATACGCCTTTCACCACTTGAGTACATACAACAGATGATAATGTGTACAATATCCTGTTGATAGAAGAGACATAGCATCATCTGTGTCGATTTCAAAAATAAACTTTACAGATGTCGAACTGAACCAATCGCACCGACCATTCACAAAAAATTGAACAAAACTATATATGGAAGCTATATCTAAATCTGAACCGATTTTAACAAAACTTCACAGACATAAGTCTGGACTTAATTCAGTACTCTGTGTAGAATTTTGTCCCAGTCGGACAAATATTGGGAGTTTGGTGCATCATTTAACATAAAATCAGACGAAACTATATATAAGAACTATATCTAAATCTGAACCGATTTTAACAAAACTTCGCAGACATCAGTCTGGATCTAGTTTAGCACTCTGTGCAAAATGTTGTCCCAATCGGACATATATTGGGAGTTTGATGCATCATTCACAAAAAATCGGACGAAACTTTATATCTAAATCTGACCGATTTTAACAAAACTTCGCAGACATCAGTCTGGATCAAATTTAGTACTCTATGCAACATTTTGTCACAATCGGACAAATATTGGGAATTTGGTGAATCATTCAAAAAAAAAAAAAAAATCGGACGAAACTATATATGGGAGCTTTATCTAAATCTGAACCGATTTCAACAAAACTTAGCATGAATAAGTATGGACCTAATTCAAATTTCGTCCCAATCGGACAAATATTGAGAGTTTGGTGCATCATTTACATAAAATCGGACGAAACTATATATGGGAACTATATATAAATCTGAGCCATTTTTCTAGCCATTTTTCTAATTTAAATGGAGTTCGTCCTTGAGCCAAATAATTGAACTGTGCCAAATTTCATCCAAATCCGATCTTATATGTGACCTGTACTTTGTTCACAAATCGACTCAGAAAGTGATTCTATGATTATTCTTGTTTCCTTTTGCCTGTTACAAACATATGCAGAAAGACATAATACCCTGTACCACAGTGTTGTGAAGGGTATAATGAGACCCTACCATGGCAACTCTGCTGTTATCCTTTTTTTGTATGATCTGTGTTATCTTATTTATATATATTATAGTCATATTAGATAAGTAATGGTCAGTTTGGTTGTCTTGTTGTTGTTTTTATTTTTTGACTAACTTATTTGTATGCTTTATCTCGCACTCAATCTTCAAATCTACACACACAGACAAGAGTTAAGTGTTTTAAAGTGGTTTCCTAATAGTTTAGCCACGTTTGCACAAATCTCATTTTCATGTACGTCTTTTTTTTCCTATTCTATCCTATGCTCTTCATTTTCACAGGAAAAACATGATTTTTAATTGAGTGTTGGTTGGTTGGTTCTTGTTGGTTTGTTTGTTGGCTTTCTGCTTTTCTAGTTTGCAGTTTTGTAAGGGCATCATTTAATTTAATTAGCAGCAGTAAGAGCAGTAGTAGTCATGATTATAAGAGAAAGAGTAGTTTTTGACCAGCAATGAACATAATATCTGGCATTATCACATTTATATTGTGTGGTTAGTTGTATGTATGCATGTGTGTGTGTGTATGTGTGAGTGTTGTGAAGAGTGTAAATTTTAATTGATTTAACATGAATACTCAATTTAAAATTTATAAAAAAAAAAATAAGAAAAAAAAACAACATCAATTGTGGTAAGGAATTTGTTTGTTATGTTTTTCTGCTGTGATTTTCTTTTAAAATAAGCAATTAAGAAACAAATCAAGGATAATAGGCTGTTACAGGATGAAATTGGATTGACCACAAGATTTCACACATTTTCTCCAGCTACGTATGTATATTAATTTTGTCATTTCATTTGCAACATTTCGAAATATTCAAAGGATGATATTAAAAAGGCATGGATTTTTAAAGACTATTTTTCAAGGACTATTAAAGAGATGACTATTAAAGGCGTTGATTTGTTAAAGAATATTTTTCCAAGGACTGTTAAAGGCATGGATTTTTTAATAAAATATTTTTTCAAGGACTATTAAAGCCACGAATTTTTTAAAGAATATTTTTTGAAGGACTACAAAGAGCATGGATTTTTTAAAGACTATAAAACAATTTTTGCCTAACAAAGTTCTCACACATTTGGAGCTATTTGATCTACATTTTGAATATTCATTACGAATTTATTCAATTTTTTGTACCCTTCACCACACTGTGGTACAGGGTATTACGTCTTTGTGCATATGTTTATATATGCATTGAGAATATACATAGAATCACTTTCTGAGTCGATTTATGCATGTCCGTCTGTCCGTCTGTTGGTTTTAAATTGTAAACAAAGTACAGGTCGGATTTATGATCCGAATTGGATGAAATTTGGCACAACTCATTTGTTTGGCCCAAGGACGAACCCTATTAAAATTGGGAAAAATCGGTTCTGATTTAGATATAGCTCCCGTATATATTTTCGTTCGATTTAAGGTAAATGGTGTATCAAAGTCCCTATATATCATTCGATTTGCACGAAATTTGGCATAGCGTACTGAATTAAGCCTAGAATGATGTGTGCTAAGTTTCGTGAAAATCGGTTTAGATTTAGATATAGCTCCCATATATAGTTTCGTTCGATTTAAGATAAATGGTGTACCAAAGTCCCTATATATCTTTCGATTTGCACGAAATTTGGCATAGCGTACTGAATTAAATCTACAATGATGTGTGCAAAGTTTCGTGAAAATCGGTTTAGATTTAGATATAGCTCCCATATATAGTTTCGCCCGATTTTAGGTAAATAGTCCACTAAAGTCCCTATATATCTTTCGATTTGCACGAAATTTGGCATAGCGTACTGAATTAAATCTACAATGATGTGTGCGAAGTTTCGCGAAAATCTGTTCTGATTTAGATATAGCTCCCATATATAGTTTCGCCCGATTTTAGTTAAATAGTCCACTAAAGTCCCTGGAAATACTCTGATTTGCACGAACTTTGGCACAGCGTAATGAATAAGGTCT